TATTTTTGCGTTGGCTTAAAACGCTGAAACGCCAATCGAACATAATAGTGTTCTGTCGCCTACCTCTCACTTTTGGGCGCCTAGTATTTTTTGTGCTAGAAAAATAATTTGTTTGGCGTCGCTCGGCATTTTTTCTTATCAAACAAAACCAGCTGAAACACCAGGCGGTCAGAATCGCCGGCAAGCCATTCAGAAGTAGGGAACAAAAAAAAACGTGGCGTAATTTTTGTCCTTTCGTCGTTCTCCCCGGACCAGGGTTGCGGTGTCGACTTTTCCATGGGAAGTGTTGCCAGACTTACATGGCAGCTTTGAGGAGCTCTATTTGATCAAGGCTGTCGCCCCAACACCTTATCAATAATCCGGCTTGTACTTGACTTTGCAATATAAAATGTTTGCTAAGTTCAATTTTTCTGATGTTAAAAACTAATTTATCATTAATAATAACACTTTTCATTATTTTGGGTAGCAATGAAGAATGTGCAAATAGGTGCAATTTATGTCCATCGAGAAAGCACCCCTGCATATTACTTCTTTTTACTATTTTCTTACCGCGCAAAAAGATCGTTTGTTTACCTTCGTTACATCCTTTGTTCTCCTTCGCGACCTCCTTCGCGCTTATGGGTGCCCGGTATTTTACCTGGCAGATGAATTCGGCCTTCCGTCAATGAGCAAGCACAATGTTCCCGTCCTCCCAGGACTTGTGGGCGAACAAACCATTTCAACCGAGACCTGTTTATATTTGGAGCTTAAGTTTACAAATTAGAGAAGTCTGTCTGGGATTTTTCCATATAAGAGATAAAAATTGACGTCATCTACGTAGTAAATAATCAAAGTATAAATGAAAATTTTCCGCTTATTTTCACACACATGCACGTATTTTATTAGCTGCAAAGATGCAGTTTTAATCAACCTCTAAAACGTCTAAAAAATATATCTATTTTCTTTCACGTCTGAATAGAGTATAGTGTTATCAATTAGCACACACGGCGTGCAATGCACGTCCAGCAAGTGGATATAATAATTTTTTCTTTTGTTGCTAGCATTACAAATATACATACATACTACACGTTATGTACCCCACACCTAAAACTTCTTTCACAAGTCGTTATCAATTTTAATTTACACCTATGGGAAATATTGAGTTAGTGATAACAATAATAACAATTACCAGATACGAGTAGCAGCTACACCATGATACTTGTTTAGTAGTGCGATTACCTACTTAGGCCCCTATTGCGAGTGTCGACTGGCAGTAGAATAGAAATTTGTCGATCGAGTCGATCATCTTTTATTTTGCTATTGTGTAACTTGATCGATAAAAATTTGTACTATTGTGAATGGTTGACAGAATTGTAAACAGCTGTTTGTTTGTTTACATTTGTTTCTTTAATGTTTCATTTACATCATTTTTAAAATAATTGCTTTTATTATAAAATTTAAAAAATGGACACAGTTGAAATATGGTTTAGTGATGAGGAAGATGATGTGGAAGCTAATAGATTAGTAGAGTTGGCTAAAGCAAGGAGGGAATTGCGAGATTCGTCGGATCCCATGGAGTTGGAAGATGAAGTGTATGTACATATGTGAATTTTATGAATAGAAGTTGCATTCCCGATGCTTCAAGGTTTTTAGGTTTTACAGGATTTGCAGGAAAAGCTGTTATCCTCATTAATAAATTTTATGGAAGTTTAAGAAATACGGTACCGTTTAGTTTTTTTTACAATGATGTTGAGTATTGATGTCCAAACGCGTGACCCGAGTTTTAAAACTTTAACTTACAAGTGTAGTGAAAGAATTAAACTTTAATTTAACATAAAGATTTCAAGTTTCCGAGCATTAGTTAATTAATAAATTATGCAGTTTTTTGTAAACTTTGATGTTGGTTCTGCGCAAAAACACTGTGGATGGCGTAGCCGGAATTATATGCACAAGAAATATTGTATATCTTTCACAAAAGAAGCGGAGCATCCTCCCCTGCTCTTTACGGAAATTCCTTTGCCTATGTCCTCACTCTCCTGCATCAGCTCGACCAACCGCGCAAGTTGCCTTGTGTTGCTTACAATTTTTTATCTGTAATTCAGACACATATGTACATACATATGTATATTTCACAATTTTTAACAACTTCCAATTCAATTGACTTACTTTTTATCTATTATAGTACCACTTTCTTATGTAAATTTTATAAACGCAAACTCCAACGACTAAAAAACAGCAATAGAAGGATGAGCGATTAAAAAGTATTCACAGTCGCTAATTGAGCGACTAAGCGACACTCACAATAGCATCGATAATCGATAATCGCTTAATAGTCGTTTATCTACTGCCAGTCGACACTCGCAATAGGGGTGTTAGTTCAGTGTGTTTAAAAATGTTTAATGTCGCCAATTTACTCTAACGGCTTTTTAGTAGATTCAGCCCTCGCCTCTGTACCATCCCCATCTGCCAATGCGGTATCTCGTTCTGCCAATTGTTTCAGTAATTCAAAACCACTTTTCCAATTTACTACATCCGCCCGTATATCCATTTTATCTCGATGTGTCGTTATCTTTTTATGCAGCGCAAAGTCACGCCGTGGACAGGCTATGTCGCCGTGACGCAATTTTAGTATCGGGCACAAGTCGTTGTGGCCATCCCCAACATAGATGATGCGCTCATAATGCGTATTATCGCGCAGATTTCGCTTTGCCACATAGTGTTCCAAGATCATGCCTTTGCATAGATTGGCAGCGCTCAGTTTGCACTCCGTCTGATGGTGGTAGGGTCGTACATGCAGCAAGCCGTCGCTGTCAAAGTGCGCTGGGTTTGTGAATATGCTCTCGAAGCAGTTTGCCAGGCCATGTGCCTCCAGCCATTCAGTTATGAAGATGGTGTTCGAGTCACTGATGATGATAAGGTCATATTTTTTCTCAGGCGCTTGGTGCAGCCGTTTAAGCAGCCGCACGAATCCAGGTACCTCCGGTATGCAGCGTATCTTTTCGCGTATCGATTGCGGCGAGTAGCATAGCTTATGCAAGCGTCGGAATACCTCAGCCATGTACTCTTGCCATCCTTGCTTGTGTATGATGGTGTCGCTGGGGAACTTATCGGCTGGCAGCAGGTCCCGCACCACGGTGTCTGTATTGTCGTCAACCACTGTGCAGTCGAAATCAAAGGCGACCAAGCGGCGCGAAACTCGCGGGAGCATCTTGCAGTTTGCCATCATCGCACGAATTCACTTTTGAAATAAACAATCGAATGCGAAATACCCAAAGCTTGTGGGTGAATGCAAGCATGCAGCTGATTTCTTACAGTTACGCTTT